AATTGAAGTACGTTGAATTTCTTGCTAACTTGAGCGTTTAGTTGTATTGGACATCATCGTTTGGTGTATATCTATGGTTCCAGATTTGGCTGTGCTTCTAGGGCGTAGTTTAGGACATTTCTCTGAGTATCTCTTAGACCGTGTCTTAGGAAGAATATTTCCATACTTCTGGAGAAAATTTATACTGCCTTTGACAATCATTTTCGGATATACAACTAATCAAAGCTTTGGGAATGATCCAGATTCAACAAACTTCGTTGAACTTGACGAGCTAGATGCTAGGGTCGAGACCCCAACAAGTACACCTAACAATATTGAAGTGCCAAGTTCTCCTTTTGGGAAAATTCATACCAAAGCAAATCATTCAAAAAAGTCTGTTGGGCATTCTGCAAGAGAGCAAGAAATAGAGATGCAAACTTTTGGAGACACAGGTTCTCCGACTTTGAACGATCATACAAAGTAATGTTTTTATGCTATGCCCATTTTATTGAATGGTTGTTATTGTCAGCGTGTCAGCGTCCAGTTGAAATTGAGATGTCTTACGAGGAGATTATGTTTATATTCAAAAGCATGCGTATTTTGTTTCCGTAGAAACTTGCGATCGTTAGCTAGCCTGGCCCTTATTAGCTACTAACTTTCCTGTTGTTTTTGGTGCTTGTTTCCAGTCATCTCTGCTTCCTCCTTTTTGATTAAAGTTGTTTAAAATATCAATACAACATATTGTTTTCTATAACTTTGACCGAAAGGTGAAATCGCAGTTTATGATGGTGAGTTTGTCCAAAAGTAACACAATTACGAATGAACTATTGAAACTCTGCAAAATTATGAATCCATTACTTTTCATCTGAAGAATTGATTTAAAAGTGCTAAATCCGTTTTAAAACACCTTTGACTTTGCACCCTAATCTATAAATGCTGCTTTTTCCTCTGCACTTTACGCTACAAAAAGAAAGTTTCGCTTGGATCAGTAAAAACTGAATCTGCCAATTGACATGCAACCTATGAGATTAATAGTTCACGAGAAATAAACCCATCAGAATCAAGAAATCAAGAAAAAGAAAATAGTCTGTGATGAGAGAACAAAAGATGATTATCATTTACAAAAACACCGTATTTCAATCATGAATACGGAATATCGATATGAGATATAGGAATTATGATGACCACCAGGAGTTTGACAAATAAAACAGATTGCGTAATTATATCAAAAGACCTATATAAGCTGTTTGTCTACAGTCAGAATCTTCAGATTGGAAGATTCGACTAGTGTGGATAATGAACATCATCTACAAACTTTCATCTAGTTAACCAGATCCTGGACGTTATAGCTCCTAAATATGTAATACAACCAAGTGCAATTCAAAAAACGATACAACGAAAGTTGTTCATAACACTCGATAAACATTCTCATATCGGGTGAGATTATATCGAGACCAGCGGCGTATTTTAAGAACCATAATCTTAACAAATTATCTTTCGTAATACCGACACCAGCACACCGCCCGACGACCATTAATGCGTTAATAATCATTAACCATTTAACGAAGTTGAGAGTATCCCTCATTTCGCTTGACAACAGGGAGACCTCCCAAGCAAGTGTCCCAGCTTAAATAAACAAACAAAGCAGCAGCTACCAACACCTTTTCATTGTGACCAATAGTTGCTACACACTTCGCTTTCGCTGACCCTTTTTCAAGGATGAGTCAAGATTTATTTACGAACCCATTTGGAATTCCTCCGCCGTCTGATGATTCTTATGCTTCCTTAAGCCGTTTCATAGCTGAATTCTCACAGGCAATTCCCCAGGATCAGTTTGATTCGTTTAGAAGCAAATTGACGAGCCTTCATGAAGCCCTTACATCCAAACTTCGAGGAGAGACTCGTCCACAAGATGACATGTCTGAAATTCGTGGGATGTTTCAAGAGCTTAGAGAAGATATGATTCAAGGACAGAATAGCCTCAGAGAAGATATGATTCAAGGACAGAATAGCCTCAGAGAAGATATGATTCAAGGACAGAATAGCATCGCTGAACGTTTATCCAGGGTGGAAGGACGTTTCGACTCTTTTTCTATCAGTTTTCATTCCCTTAACGGTGAACAATTATCGCGCATCAGAAACATTGAAACCAAAACTAACGAAACAAGGACCTCAGCACAGAGATCTGAAAATATTATCAACAGAAAGTCTTACAGGGATACAAAGCCGATTCCATTTATTAATGGACAAGAACCTCCTTCTGATCTGCCTGAGTTAAAAACCATTTCCGATGTTGACAACTTGAACCCAAGCCAGTTGAAAGCATATCTGGAGGGATATGGCTGTAAGTATGTTGAGAATGAGCCTCAAACGTCTCTCAAAAGAAAGGTTTCAGATGTGGCTGGATTTATCAAATGTCCTCACGATAATCTTTACGAGTTTTCAACCCTCCAGGACATAGGAAATCAAAGTAGTACACCAAATCGAATACTCAGATCTCGTCATAATTGACGGATGCATTGACCTAAATTGAAAGCTTTTTCGTATCATTTTTACTATGAAGTTATCTGAGATTCTTGGACTGTGCATTACGATAAGCAGAGTGCCGTGGTCGATGTGAAGGCTCAGAGATTTCAAATGTTCTATTTGTATTTTTTATTTACTTAATCGCCATAATATTATTTCATTAAGGTCAAAAAAAAAAGACCATTAACGTTTGAATTAGAAGAACCACTTTGTCTAATTTCCCCAGTTTCCTCGAAATTGAGCATTATGTTTATCATTGTTGATTTATAAGTGCAACCTATACAAAACGTTGCAACTATTGGATAAAGTAGATAAAGTAGATAAAGTAGCTGAATTCATCGTTGCAAAACAGCTGTTATTTTAGTCCTTTTCTCTGCGAAAAATAAAGAAATTGGTCTTCAAAAACAAAGAAAGCAATGAATAACAAAGAAAAATTCTTGTAACAAAAATATTCTGGCTATAATTAGAATCCGTATGCTTGAAAGTAAACAGATCATTATTGTTTATTACGCCAGAATTTAATATTCACGCATCTGTCTATGTAATTGATGATAAATATAATGAATGTAAGCTGATAAGCTGATTGCATCCTTTTAATTGAGTCCACAAGTATGCAGAAAAGCCAACCAACCAAGGTATTATTAGACTCATTGAAGATGTATCTAACTATTCGTTATGTGTACTATAATATAAATGAATATCCATTCACAAGCTTAAATTATAGCAGCTATGGATTATACCTCCATAAAAGTTTCGTTCTTTTTTTTTTTTTTTTTTTTTTATATTATTATTCATGACTTCAAATTCGATAAGACAATTTATGCGAAACATACTACCAACGTTCACTGTCTAATTGAATGCCAGAAGATAAATGAAACTGTCGTAATTAAGACTTGTCTACGTTTAGTTACTATTAAATACTTTTTTGGAAAAATAATCTCTCGAAAGTGTGTCAATAAGGATATGCTGAATGACTTAACAACGCGAGTTACAGCCTTTTTTATCAAGCGATACAAAGTAGATTCCTTTCTTCTGAGTACACTCCTACGTTGTTTACGAGCAAATTTTTTTCAAGATGGATGTTTCGCTTTATTACTGGAAATATCCTGCCAATTGTCTAATGATCTACCCAATCTATATACAAGTATTTTCTATTACAATCCAAGCCGAGTATAATACAGGTTCATTGAATACCACTTCAAATTGCATTCCGACAAAAATTTCAGACTTTCTTTGCGCCACATTTGCAATATAACATTAATAATTCTTTTATTAGTATAAACAGGAAGGGTGTCCGAGTGGTTATGGAGCTAGTTTAAGGCACTAGTGCGAAAGCTCGTGGGTTCGAGTCCCACCCCTTTCATTAACTTTTTTGTTCATTCCGAACATACAGTCGAAACAAGATTACCGATCATCTTAAAAAAACCGCGAGGATAAAAACAGAACATATCGTGCCAAAAACAGCTATAACCAACCAAGCCACCCTATCCGTAATATGCAAGATCCATAATTACGAGTTTCCTTTTTTCTTTCAATTCATGCAGTAGCCCAACAATGCATTCACGAATGCTCCAATGCATCATCTATAATTGATGGATAAAAAGAATTGCGCGGCCAGGTTTCGATCCTGGGACCTACGGGTTATGAGCCCGTCGGAGTTCCACTCTCCTACCGCGCACTTTTCGTCTACGCTATGATTCGAACCATCCTCTTACAAAGTGCATTAAGACCGTTCGACCACAGGACTGCCTTATATATGTACATTTAATAAATATATATATTCGCTGAAATCAATGTAATTCCTTTTCATCAGAATTTATGTCAAAATCGACTTTGAAAGTAACTTCCAATACATGTTTCTTTGTAATAGAGTAACACTGAAATTGTGGAATGAGAACTGAGGAAGTACCATGAGTAATTCCCTGTTCAATGAATTCGGCATTACCTTTCATTGTATGAATGTAAAATAGATGACTCCTAAACATTATACGACTGCAAGCACCTAACCAATTCATTCAGGTACTTAAAGGAACACTGTCCTTTTCATTCAACTACCTTCATGAGATTCCTTAAACGATTTGAAAAAGATTCCTGAAACAGAGTTTTTATATCCTCTATTGAATTTTTTTAATTAATTTCTTATATGATATAATCTTGCCAATTGCTAACTCGTATTAATTGGTATACACTGCTTGGCTACCTTCATTTCACTTCACTTCACGAACACACTAGTTTCATCTACTTGCTATAAAATGCAGCAGCTTCTCTTGGATCCAGGTGTGTTTTTTAGCTTATCCTTGTATTCTAATTGTTTCAGCTCTTCGAAACTGGGTTCTCTTACCCATCATGTTTATCATGATTTTAATTGGAGTTCTAAGACATAATGCAACAATTCTCTTACAGGCTTCTCCTAAAAGGCTAACAAAGGAAGAAATTCGAGAACAGTAAGTGTTTTTTTAAACTTATTTGCCAAGTTCGTTTATTTATTGATAATCCTAGACGTCTGTTGCAAAGAGCGTTTGCCTTTCGAAGCAATGCATTCTTCCTTTTGCCCAATTCTATAGAGAACAGAAAAGAATTTTTGGTAGACGCTTTACGGTCAGGTAAATACCTAAAGCCTGCCGACCCCAATGCTCCTAAAAATCTGAATCCAATGATGGACGACAAGACATTGGAGACTTTGATGGAGTCTATGAAGGGGAATATGTTAATGGTTGTTCCTCAAACGATTATAATGACCTGGATTAATGAATTTTTTTCTGGTTTTATCTTATGTATGTCTTCCCACAAATTATCCAACATATGCGTTTTCATAAACAGCTATTTAACTAACCTTACAGTAAAACTTCCTTTTCCGCTTACCTATCAGTTCAAGTCCATTTTCCAATCGGGCGTTGCTACCCAAGATCTTAGTATTCAATGGGTTTCTTCTATCTCATGGTATTTTCTGAATCTCTTTGGGTTAAAGTCGGTCTACGCATTATTACTGGGAGAGAATAATAGTATGTTGGTAAAGCGTTGGCGTGTCTACTAACATGCTTATTAGTGGCTAGCAATGCTGAAAGTGAAATGGGAATGTCAGGGTTTTCACTGTCAGCTGCTACATCGCAGACTGTCCAGCCTGGCCAAGATATTGCCAAGCTAATGCATTCCGAATCCGAGAATGTGCAAATTGTCGGAAAGAATTCTTTACTAGAGGACGTTGAGTCAAGAATTTTGAAGCAATTCACCTAATACACGTTTACTGAAGTAGATTTTACCAGAAGCATTTACTTGATAAAAAATTTTAAAAAACCCGTCTTTAATTTTTATCTCATGGCTGTTATCATGGTTGACTTTGATACATTTTTTTACATGTTGAGAATCTACCCTCTTTCTGTAAGCCTACCTAGCAATGATCAACTATTATAATATAAAGGAGTTTAAAAACAATAAATATACTGTAAATATGTGGTAGTAAAAAAACTCGCTATCATCCAGATCTTGTACGGAAACGTGCTGGTACCTGTCCTAAATTTTTAAAAGTTTTTGAACTCCATAACAACACCTTCTTTACTAAGTAAAGGTCCATTTTTGGCAAAAGCACGAAGAAACCCCAATAAATATGAGTCAACAAACTTCTTCGGAACCCACTAACAGCTGCAGTATGTTGTTCTTGAAGGATGAAAGCTTTTTCAATTGCAGGATTTTGAGCTTTCTTACCTAAGGTATAACAATCATATACTCACATATATAATATTTTAGAAGTAATATATGCTAGCAGAGTGGCTGAATCATTTGTGGAGCAACTTAAAGAGCTAGTCAAACAATTTGAGCCTGCTCCAAAGTTGGTTGGCTTTCTTGCTAATACAGATCCCGCTGCTCGCATGTACGCTGGTATGTGAATTGTATTCTTATATGATTTGGTTTGATCCTAATGAACACTTAGATTGGACTGAAAAAACCTGTAAGGAAATTGGTTTCCATTTTGAGCTCCGGGAAGTTTCCAAGGATGAATTGGAAGACGCCATTGTGGAAGCAAACAATGATAAAAATGTCAATGGCATGATGATCTATTTCCCTGTTTTTGGAAATCGTCAGGACCAATATTTGCAGCAAGTTGTATCAGCTGAAAAGGACGTGGAAGGTTTATGCCATAAGTATGTGATGAACATGTATCATAACATTCGTCATTTGGATGATGCAAACACAAAAAAGTCAATCTTGCCCTGTACGCCTTTGGCTGTAGTGAAGATTTTGGAATACTTGGGAGTTTACAACAAAATTATTAACTATGGTAACCGTCTCTATGGAAAAACCATTACCGTCGTGAATCGTAGTGAAATAGTTGGGCGTCCTCTCGCAGCATTGCTTGCAAATGATGGTGCAAAAGTATACTCAGTCGATATCAACAATATTCAACTCTTTACTAGAGGAGCAGGAATTCGCAGTAGGAAACATGATGTTACCGAAACCGAATTGAAGATAGAAGATGTCGCTCCCATTTCAGACGTTATTATTTGTGGTGTTCCTTCTCCCAACTACAAGTTCCCTTCTCACCTTGTTCGCGATGGAGCCGTTTGCATTTGTTTTTCTAGTGATAAAAATTTTGATGCTCCTTCCCTTAAAGAACATGCAGGCATTTATGTACCCAGTATTGGTAAAGTCACTATCGCTATGCTCTTGCGAAACCTCATTCGCCTTACTTCCTACCAGCGCAACAATCCTATTGATGTCTGAAGCAATTAACTTTTAGTCTTGTTAAATAAAGCGTTGCTGAAGATTTTTAATAAGAGGCTTTTCTAATTTTAGCTTCAGAGCATATGCTTAGGACCATCGCTTTTTTGGTGATTTTTATAATTTTTGTAAGTATACATACTTAATACATAGTAATTTGATTAATATAATAACTTTTATTCAATGAGTTTTTCTCTTTTCTATATAAAATAAGCTTACCTGATAATATAATATAATAACCGTATCGAGGACCTCCCATTTATATTGCACTATCCTCATCTATAAATGTAAACGCCTGCAAAATTCTGCTCAGCATCACCGATCGTCGAGATGGGAGGAATTGACGTGAAGAACAAGGTTTGCCCTTTAGTTTATCAATTTTTGATTGATAATGGGTTTGAAAAGACGGCAAAGGCCTTCGCAAAGGAAGGAAATATCCAAACTGCTGAAAAAAAGACACCTAAGAAAAGTTTGGTAGATTTATTGTCTCATAAGGAAATTGTCTCTTACGTTTCAGACGAAAAAGAAAAAGCTACTGAAAAGGGAAAGAAAAAGTCCAAGGAGGAAAGCAGTGATGAATCTGACTCTGAGTCAGAGTCTACATCTTCATCTGATGAGGAATCTTCTTCTTCTGATTCAGAAGAATCCTCCTCTTCTTCTTCTTCAAGTGAGAGCGAATCCTCTGATAGCGAAGAAGAATCTTCAGACTCTTCAAGTGAATCTAGTTCTTCCTCTTCCTCCTCATCTGATGAAGAATCTCGCTCCTCTTCTTCTGATGAAGAGGATAGTTCTGACAGCAGCTCTTCTGAGTCTGAATCTTCTTCTGAATCCTCATCTTCTGAAAAAAGTGATTCAAGCTCTTCCAGTGACGAATCCGACTCGGACTCCGATGACAAATCCAGCTCATCAGATGAGGATAGTGACTCTGAGTCGAGCTCTTCTAGTAAATCTTCTTCCTCCTCTGATGAAAGTTCTTCATCCAGTGATTCCTCATCTTCTGATTCAGACTCAGATTCCGAATCAGAAAAAAGCAGCTCGGAGTCCTCTAGTGAAGAATCCAAAGCATCCTCTTCATCGACCAGTGGCTCTGCAGCATCTGAAAACGCTAACAAGCGCAAGCACGAGGATTCTCCAAGTGATACAGCTTCATCGAAATCTTCCCGTGTAGAAAACAAGCCTTTTAGTCGAGTTGGTGATCCTTCTCAATGGCAGTTTGCTTCTGATGCTCATAAGAATAATTCCTTCAACTTTGGCGAAGATGATTATGGTGCCAAGGCTAATCAAGACTTGAGTGTTACTCGCGGTAAAGGATTCCGTCAAGAGAAGAATAAAAAGAAACGTGGTAGTTACCGTGGTGGTAGAATTAATTTGGAAGTAAGAAGCATCAAGTTTTAATCGTTCTCTCTTTCTTTCATTCTTTTTTTGGTTTAGACAGGTTTATTACGGATAGGAATGCGTCGCTTTATATCAATATATTTATAGTAAACATTGGTAGGACAGGAAACATTGTGCATCAATTGCCCAGGCTTTAGGAATGTTCTCAGTAAAACGTGCCGAGTCCTCTTTTGCGCATCTATTGTTTTCTTGGTGCCAATCTAATTAAATCAAAAGCATTATAAATATAGTCTGATAATAGCGTTTCGCAAATAATCCACCCGGGATGAAAATAAAAAGCAGTGTAGGGCACTCGCGATTGTGTAGTTTTCACTTTTTCTTAAATAAAGATTAACATTACTGACAAACTAATTGTAGTTTTGTATTTCACAATAATTACAATGAGCATACTTTTGAAAATATTCTTTTAAAAGAAAATAATATGATACCCTACCCTACGAGGTAATAGATGTGACTGCTTTGCACGACCCAAAATATTCACTCCTAAAATGTAGCAGTTTTCCGCAAATCTAAATCTGAACAATGGCCGCTGCTCGCCCTACTGTTAGTGTCTACAACAAGGACGGTGCCGTCTCTTCTGAGACTATCGCCTTGCCTTTTGTTTTCAAGGCTCCTATTCGTCCCGACTTGGTTCGCTCTGTTCACACTGCTGTTGCCAAGAACAAGCGCCAACCCTATGCCGTCTCTGAGAAGGCTGGCCACCAAACCTCTGCTGAATCCTGGGGTACTGGTCGTGCTCTTGCTCGTATTCCCCGTGTCGGTGGTGGTGGTACTCACCGTGCCGGTCAAGCTGCTTTTGGTAACATGTGCCGTAGCGGTCGTATGTTCGCCCCTACCAAGACCTGGCGCAAGTGGCACGTTAAGGTGAACCAAAATGAGAAGCGTTATGCTATTGCTTCCGCTGTAGCCGCCTCTGGTGTTCCTTCTCTCCTTTTGGCTCGTGGTCACCGTGTCGAGGAGATTTCCGAAGTTCCTTTGGTTGTCGAAGACTCTATTCAAACCATCCAAAAGACTAAGGAAGCCGTTGCGTTATTGAAGCAACTCAAGGCCTTCCGTGATGTTGCCAAGGTCACCAGCTCTCGCAAAACCCGTGCTGGTAAGGGTAAGCTTCGCAACCGTCGTTACGTTCAACGTCGTGGTCCTCTTGTTGTTTTCAACGAGGATGCTGGTATTGTCAAGGCTTTCCGTAATGTTCCTGGCGTTGAGCTTGTCAACGTTCGTCGTTTGAACTTGCTTCAACTTGCTCCTGGTGGTCACTTGGGTCGCTTCATCATCTGGACCAAGTCTGCTTTCGACCTTCTTGACAACGTCTTTGGTAGCTTCACAGAAGTCTCTCAATTCAAGAAGGACTACGTCCTCCCTCAAAACGTCATCTCTAACGCTGACGTTACCCGTCTTATCAACTCTGATGAAATTCAAAGCATTGTTAAGCCTGCTGGTCCCGCTGTCGTCAAGCGTGCCAATGTTCAAAAGAAGAACCCTCTCAAGAACAAGAACGTTATGCTCCGTCTTAACCCTTATGCCAAGGCCTACAAACACAACGTTAAGGTTGACACTGGCAAGACCTCCAAGTCTGCTGGTGAAAAGTTCTTGAGTGTTTTGCATGAGAACTAAATAATAGGTAAACAATATTAATATCTCGTTTGTTTTGGGTTTTATTTTAAGTGGAGTGTGTAAAAGCCTATTCTTTGAAGGATTTGTTGTGAGAGAAACAGAAATTAAATCTTGTAATAGTATATTTGAGATCACCCATGTATTGAGTTAACCAACAAAAGATAGTAGGCTAAATATGTATATCAACGCATTTCATTTAATTGGCATTAGAAGCTTGTTGGATTTTTAGGCTTGCAAAGTCATCCTTGGCTACTTTTTTTCTGTAAAGTGTCATTATAGAACGAAGGAAAGAAGCAGACGAGTACTACCTTGAAACAATGAAAAAAAAAATAAAAGTTAAAAGTGTGAATCAAAGACAAACATAAACCTGTATAGAAACAAATTTTTAACAAGTGTTTACTACTGAGGCATACAGTAGAGCACTACATGAAACAAATATCAAGTAACTTATCACCTCTCCAACTCCACTCTTCTGTCAAAACAGGATACCCGTCATTTTGAAAGCATCTTGACGAATTTATAGCGAAATGAAGCCATCAATCGTATCTTTAAGCTCAAAAATGGGCTTATCGCCAAGACCAAAGACCGCGCAAGTATTTAGACAACGAATTGTCTTGGCGAATGGAGCTTCGTACATGATTAACACAACTTTACCCCGTCCGTATGTTGTATCGATCAAAGACATTACAAATATGCCTCTGAATAATCCAGACTCATATGCATTGTCCTCTGTGGGTGGTCAAGAAACCCGTAGAACCAAGTTTGAACAACGCTATGAAGGACTTTAAAGTAATTGATATTACAATTCACAATGCTTGAAATTTTAGATGTCTATGCAGCCCTCTCCTCTTCCTACTCTATGTCTACATATTATCCAGAACCCTTTTATGTATAAATCATAAATGCATTATTTATTATAGATGCTATAATATCTGTAATACTATGATGGACTACGATGAAAGATGTAGACAAAATGATTTCCAATCATCATGTTGAGAATCCGAAAAGGATGCCCACTTCGTCTTAATTTCTTCTACGCTTCAACGCATTCTCCTAGTCATAAAAAGGACTAGACGAAATTGTTCACCAATTTTGAAGCGATTGACTGTAAAGAAAGAATTGGTCAAGTTTTACTATTTATACATGTCTGACGTTTAATAGGGTAGGGTTGTGACAGTCAGAACTGTCAACAATGGAAAAAAGAAGAATATGAAAAAGAGAAATAAAGGACGCGTAATCGGTTACCAATTGAAATGCGTTTAAAGGAATGAATGATTGGATCGAAAAGAATATCTTGCTCCATGTGAGAGACGTTGAGTTTCTGTGTGATGAACAGCAGTTTCAATATTACGATCGATTTTTTGAACCTATGAATGGTATTTTTTTGATGTAAGCGTTTTTATATTCTGTGTTAAAATAGGTAAACAAACGAATGTATAATAAAGCAAGTTAAAACTAATTCTTTTCCTCTTACACTATAACGAAAATAACTAAAGGGAAAATGAAAATGCAAAAGTGAATTTCATAAGTAAAGAATTATAATGATGTCAATGGTTTTAAGTGTCTTTTGATCCTTAAGAATGATTCTCATTAACAACCATCTTTCAAGTGTGTAAATCGATAATTTCTGACATTCTGAAACTAAAATTATCCTAAACTTTCATAAATGTGACTTACTGCTGAACATTGCGAGCAAACAAACAATAGGCTCTTCCACGATTTATTTCTCGGAATAAGTATTAAGGAATCAATAAAACAATATAAATTAAGAAGAATTATAAATTGGTTTTGCTTATTTTCTAAGTCAACAAATTATTAACGTCTACAACACAAACCAAATTTCATGTATTAAGAAGCATATATCATTATAATTGTCACTCAGTGTTTAATGTTACTTATTTATATACAATAATATCACTAAGCTGTACTCTAGATAAACACAAATAGAGTGTTCTTTTTTAGTTTCTGTCGTATAAACAAAGATAAAAGACGGACGGTATCATCGCAATGAAATGTTTAGCCTTTAAATTCTAAATTCCTCATCTGCAATCGCAATAAATAGAGAATCCTGCTCCAAATACGATTTTCATTTGACCCGGCGAGCAGGAGTAGCAATTCTTTAAATGGTGGTAGTAAACATATTCGAAACCATGTTTCTTATACAGCTCTAGATAAAACAAGATTCTTCTCTTCCATTGAGGAGGATCGCAGACTGTTTCGTGAATAGAGACTCATAGCATCGCCTGAATATTCTTGCTCGTACAAGCAGGGATAAAGTGCAGGGATCAGTAAGTATGCACAAATGATCATTGGAATAAAATCAAACAGTGCAAACCATATTTCCATAGTCGGCACTTTGCTTTGGTCGAAGTACAGAGAATTGAGGACCATACAGGAGTGCCCAGTGATAAAGCAAAACATACAACTCGGCTGAATATAGGACTGGCGCAACTAATAAAGTGATGTTTTGTCCAATATAAGCAGAGTATCCTTGTAAATGGTAATGAGCACATAATCTACATAACCAACCTACAATTTCTCCAATGGTTCCAACCAAAGGTACTCAAACAATTTTTTTCGTGACTTCACTAGCAATCCTGTTTGCAACATAAAAGCAACAGCAAAAAGAACAATAGCCATAATCCCCAGTAGGGCGTTAGGTACATAACCAAAAAAATTTTGTGCTGGAACCATTTTGAATTATATTTGATGCAAGATCTGAGGATGCCTGTAAACAGCAATCGTTTCGCCAATGAATGAGAAATTGGTAGACAAAGTATTAAACTTGGAAAAGGACGACAGCATGATTTGGAGTTTCTTTCTGCTTTATATAGCTTTCAAACAACCATGGCTCATTTTCACTATTTACATCTTCGGACACCGGACTTCGGACCGTATAATTATTGTATATCTAGTGAGATGTGTAAGTAAAATTAAGTAAAATTAAATTGTGTACACCAAGTTGAATTTATGTGTATAGACGCTAGTGATGTCCAGGGATCTGGTTAACTAAATTGAAAGTAGGAAGACGGATCTTATTTAGCCAGACAAGTCGAATCTTCCAATCTGGAGAATTCGACTGTGGATACATAGTTTATATATCTTCGCTGAGAGAACTAACGTAATCTATTTTTTTGTACACAAAAGTCTCTTTATTTAAAAGACTTCCGTTCCAAAAGACTGTCCAAATGGTTGTTAAAATCGTATTTTCTTTGTTTTGTTTACCATTTGTAATATCTCATCCTTTAGTCTTATGGCATTCGTTGATATTTAGCAATATGTTCTTGTGATAGTATATTTGTAATATATATAATATTAACAAGACACCTATCGTGACAGACAGACACACACACACACACACAGTAACGAACACCCCACATTATTGTATTTAATGACCACCTTTAATCCCTGGATCTACCACTTTTAAATTAACAACGAAACCAGTAGTAACATCACAAATACAGCTGCAGATGTACCTTTTTTTGCCTTAGAAGCGGAAGATTCAACGTAATGAGAAGCAGTACCGCTAAAATTTCGAGAAGCAAACGTCCAATTTCCTTCCCGTGAAGCAAACAAAGACACAGACGAATGAACAGGAACGGAAGAGAAACTTAATGATGAAGCAAATTTAGAGGTAGAACCCGCTAATGTTCCATCACTTTGTTCTGATGATCCCAAACCTTGTCCCCCAGCCGTAGGAACAACACTAATTATAGTGCCTGTTTGCCTGACATTAGAAGCAGCTCCGGAGACAGTTGTCATAGATGGAACAGACCCTGTCCAGCTTGAATTGGTGGTTGACCAAAATCCACTGCTTTGTCTAGATGACTTAACACCTGGGTCCTGTGAACTGGGAACAAGTTTGGCAGGAGTCACCTCAATAGTGCCGTTGAAGGCAGAATGAGAAACAGTTGTCAATGATGGCACGGAACCCGTCCAGCTTGAAGTGATGGTTGGATAGGTACTAGTCACTTCACTCGAGGATTTAGAAAGATGACTTTGGCTGTGTGAACTAGGCACAAGAGTGCCTGGAGTCACTTTAGCAGTTCCATTAGAGGCAGTTGTCATAGATGGAACAGACCCTGTCCAGCTTGAGGTGATGTTTGGAAAGGTACTAGTCACTTCACTC